GCGGTATATCGGTCTGTAAAACATTTCCGTCATTTATTGGAAGGTAGACACTTTACAATTTTCACTGATCATAAGCCTTTAATTTATTCTTTTTCTAACAGTTCCGACAAACATACACCGAAACAAATAAGGTATTTAACGTTTATCAGTGAATTCACAACAGATATACAACATATTTCAGGTCGTGATAACGTGGTTGCTGACGCTTTGTCTCGTTTAGATTTAATAGAGGGCAAATTAGATTTTGAAGCATTGGCGGAATCGCAAAGAACAGATTCGGAGTTGCAAACGTTGATGCAGGGTGAGTCCGGTTTAAAGTTTAAGCAAATGTTGGTTCCGGGTTCGCGTGTTAAAATTTTTTGTGATGTTTCAACGAACTCCGTGCGTCCGTACCTTACGCCTCCTTTTAGACGGGCGGTTTTTGACGCATTGCATGGTATGGCGCATTCGGGAGTAAAAGCGACGGTCAAGTGCGTAACACAGCGTTATGTCTGGCCGTCGGTTAAATCTGATTGTCGCATTTGGACTCAAGCTTGCATCCCATGTCAGCAAAATAAAATTAATAGACATGTGGCAGCGCCGCTTGGAACCTTTCCTCGTCCGTCAGGACGTTTTGAGCATATTCATATGGATATAGTCATTTTACCCGTGTCTGAGGGATATCGGTATTGCCTTACCTGCGTAGATCGTTTTACACGGTGGCCTGAGGCAATACCCTTACGTGACCAAGAGGCAACTACGGTTGCAAGAGCTTTTTACGAAGGATGGGTTTGCCGTTTCGGGGCACCCTTACGTGTTACGACGGATCAGGGACGGCAGTTTGAGTCGTATCTTTTCAAAGAGTTAAATTCTTTGTTAGGCACGACTCATTTGCGCACCACGGCGTATCATCCGGCAGCCAACGGTATGGTGGAGCGTTTTCACCGGCAATTAAAGGCTGCGATTCGTTGTCAGCAAAATGTGCGTTGGACTGAAGTGCTTCCGACTGTGTTATTAGGCATTCGATCAGCCTGGAAGGAAGATTTGAAGGCTACAGCTGCGGATTTAGTTTATGGCGAAACCCTGCGTTTACCTGGCGAGTTTTTAGTACCATCGCCAAGGGATTATAATGCCGGTAGTTTTGTTAAGGAATTGCGGGAATACTGGCGTAATATTGGGCCTACCGAAGGATCACGGCATGGTGATTCGCGAGTATTTGTTTATAAGGACTTAGCTACGTGTAAGTATGTATTTCT